AATCAGAGAGGGAAAATGATATTTGATTGTTGTTTTAGTTTAAGTTTTATTAGTTAAGATCAAACAACTTTTTAAAACTATTTTGTCCCTGGGGCACCTGGGTGGCTCAGTCAGTTAAGTGGCTGCCTTCGGCTCGGGTCATGATCTCAGAGTCCTGGGATCGAGTCCTGCATCGGGCTCCCTGCTCATCTGGGAGTTGGCTTGAGGATTCTTTTTCTCTCCCTCTGCCCCTCCCACTGCTCATGTACTCTCTCTCTATATATAAAATAAATAAATAAGCTTTTAAAAAAATAAAATAAATAAATAATTGCAAATTTTGTACTCTGAGATACTTATAATCATTTTATTAAAACTTTAAAAATGTGTGGTGTTTGCATACTATACCCACTAATGGGAAGGGAAATACCTAGAGCTACTTTCTTTTTTTTTTTTTTTAAGATTTTGTTTATTTATTTGACAGAGAGATAGCACAAGTAGGCAGAGCGGCAGGCAGAGCGGCAGGCAGAGGGCAAGGGAGAAGCAGACTCCCCGCTGAGCAAGGAGCCTGACACCAGGCTCGATTCCAGGACTCTGGGATCATGACCTGAGCCGAAGGCAGACCCTTAACCAACTGAGCCACCCGAGCGCCCCCTAGAGCTACTTTCTGATAGTGATGGTGTTCAACAGAAACAGAACATTTTTAAGCTTTTCCTGCTTTCTAAAAAAAAAATTTAAACTAGTTTGTCCTCATCCAAAATAACTGAACATTTATTTCATGAGACTGTTTGCCAAGATTCAGGGGACCATCTGTGAGTGTGGACCTGGATGATTTATAATTAGCTATGGTGAAGCCTGGGCAGATTTAGACATGTTTGAACCATTCCTGCATGATACACTTTCAGTTGTGCAGAGAAATATCGAAGACATTACCCTGCTTTTAAAACTATTCCTGGTCTCCTATACTGTGCTCTCTTCTTGTTCAAGGGAACTAGCAAACTAGCTAAGTGTTAACTAAGTCATGAGATCTGTAAAGAAACAAGCTTATTCGAGAAATAGAAAAGTGTAAAATGATATGGGACAACTGAGGTACTTTGCCTGCTTTTGGACCTGCTCTCTCTATGCAGAAAATCATATAAAAAAGGCAAATAGTATGACAATGCCTGAGGATCTCAAGGCACTGTATTTTCAACTTTAGCATGTGTGTGTGTGTGTGTGTGCTTTTCAAAACATGTCCTGAATTCTGAAGTGGAAATGTATTACATCCCAGTGCCCAGCACACTGTAAGAAAATCAAGCGTATTTTAAGCACTTAATTCAATGAGGCAATACCTTTATGAGCGTAACATTGAGCTTGTTGCTAAAAGAATAAATATGAAAAGAGGGTTCCAGGTGTCAAGGAGACCCAACAAACCAGTGGCAATGCCACACTGTACTAAGTGCTGTGATGGAGTGGGAATCCAAAGCTAAGAGACAGAGGGAGGAAATGGGGCTGTGGAATGAGCCTGAAGAGGATTTGAATTCCACAATTCGCTTAAACTCCGAGTGTCCATTTCTTTATCAACTCAATAAAGATAATAGTTTCTACTTTGCTGGGCTATTGTAAGATTAAGTGGACAATGTGAGTCTAGCACAATGTCTGACATAGAGTAGAATCTCAGTGACTATTAGCTGATATTATTGCCAACAAACGTATATGGAATTCATCATATTTCCTTACTACACTTTTGTACATGATAGCCACTCTCCCTTATATTTATCTGATTCTTTATTGTTCATTAAACTCATCCCCAGACTATATCTCATTTAATACTCTCAATAGGGCATCTGGGTGGCTCAGTCGGTTAAGCGTGTGCCTTCGGCTCAGGTCGTGATCCCAGGGTCCTGGGATCGAGCCCCGAGTCAGACTCCCTGCTCAGCGGGGAGTCTGCTTCTCCCTCTCCCTCTGCCTGCTTGTGTTTCTCTCTCTCTCTCTGTCAAATAAATAAAATCTTAAAAAAAAAAAAAAAACCAACACTCTCAAAAAACATGTGAGGTGGTTAGGTCAGAAACCACTTTCATGTTACAGACTAATAAATGGAAACTTAAATGACTGGACTGGTAGGTGACTAGTCCAAGATCACAGAGTTTAAGAAATCAGGATTTGAGCAAAGATGCTCTCACTCCAAATCTAATCCACATTCTATGACCCCACCTTGCCTCTCCTGATAGAAATTAGGGTTAACCTCACAAAACGGACTTCATAATACACTTTGCTGAGACATACTATCAGGACTTGCCCCAAAATATGTCAAAGGGCCTCCAAGCCAGCACTGAGAGGAGGACACGGGCCCCAGGTAAATTTGAAGTGAAGAACTTGGATACAAAAAGATTGGAGAGGACTGCTGTGATATTGTGGTTTATAATAAGAAATATATGTATGGTTTTCATCCCTGCTCATGGCACAGAACTTCTAAAATCTTTGGAATCTCTTAACTGTAGATAAGAGCGATAAAGGTGTTCTTTTATTTATACCAAGCCCCTCTCAACTACCGAGGAGTTTATCCTAAAGAAGTGATTTTTGGAAAGCCCTTGAGGATGGGGCTGGTTGCCAGGGGAACCAACCTTGTGATTAGAGGGTTGGAACTTTCAACCCCATCTCCCAGACTTCCAGGGAGGCCAGAGGAGGGCTGAAGATTGACTTCAGTTGCCAATGGCCAATGGTTTCATCAATGATGCCTAATGCAATAAAGCCCCAAAAGAATGGGTTCAGGGAGCTTTTGGGTTAGGGAGCCAGCAGGGTGGCAACCCCAAATTCCACATGTTCTGAACTTATGTATCTCATCATCTGTTCATTTGAATCCTTTGATTTCCTTTGTAAAATAGCAATAACCTAGTAAGTAAACTGTTAAACTGTTTTCTGGAGTTCTGTGAGTCACTCTAATTAATTGAAGGAGGGGTCATGGGAACCTTCAGTCTATAGCTGGTAAGTCAGAAGCACAGGTGACAACCTGGGCTTCTAATTGCCGTCCACAGTGGAGAAGTAGGAGCAATGTCATGGGACTGAGCCCTTAACCTGTGGGATCTGAAGCTACCTCCTGTAGACAAGGGTCAGAATTGAGTCGGATTGTAGGACACTCCAGCTGTTATTGCAGAATTGCTTGGTGTGGGAAATACTACCACATATTTGGTGGGCAGTAGTGAAGTAGACTATTTTGTGGGTAAACAGAAAACAGAGGAGGTTTTTTGTTTTTGTTTTTGTTTTACAACTGCTCATCAGAAATGAATCCAAAACAAAAGGGAACCTATAAAAGGAGCAAGAGGGGAAAGGTGTGTGTGTGCACAAAAGCTCAGGATGGTGCAATTTTAAAGAAGCCTGTTTTCTGCAATTCACTACTGCTGACAACTATAACAAGTTGGTCATTGGTTCCCCTGTCTTGTGTGGATACTAGGTACCTGTCTAAAAACAGTACCAATAACCCGGTTTTGCTCCCTTACTCCAAGAGAAGCCATTGTTCCATTGACCAGTTCAGTGAATTCCCTCCCCCAGGAGCCTCTGTCTTAGGAGGAGTAGAGATAAAAATTACGTTCTTCAAAGATCAGCAAGCAGGGGCACCTGGGTGGCTCAGATGGTTGGGCGGCTGCCTTTGGCTCAGGTCATGACTTCCGGGTCCTAGGATCGAGCCCCTGCGTCGGGCTCTGCTCAATGGGGAGTCTGCTTCTCCCTCTCCCTCTTCCTCTCTCCTCCACTCCTGCTCTGTCTCTCAAATGAAAAAATAAAATCTAAAAAGAAAAATCAGCAAGCAACTTAATCTAAATTGTCCCACTTGCCTGTGAAGCAAAATGCCTCAAAACAGGTTTCCATGAGCAACCTGGAGTCTACTTACACCAACTTTTTCCTTTTCAGACCACGGCCATTCAAGACCCTACATCGAAAATGCAAGCTCAGTCACCGGTGGTCATTGTGACTCAGCCTGGATGTGGTCCCGTGGCCCAAACCTCCAACTGGCAGACAGGCATGTGTGACTGCTTCAGCGACTGTGGAGTCTGTAAGTGTTGGGAAATGCCCCCGTAATTGCCGTGGAGGAGAAGCACCAAAGGCCAAAGCTTTCCCTCATTCCTCCCTTATGGTGTAGTAAAGGTTCCCAGCCTATTACAGGGCACCTGGCATGTCAGGCAATGAATGGTAAGTGAAGAAAAAAGGCTTGTGCTGATTATAGCTAATTTTTCTCCAGCACATCAATCAATCGTCTTACTCCTAAGATAAGTCCTGGAATTAAGATGATAGTAACGAAGCTGATGATTCTCACAACCAATGGGTCTGGCCTAATGATTATAAATAGACCATACATTAAAATAAAAGAGACATTTCCATTGATTTAAAAAAAGAAAAAGAAAAAAGACTGTTCTTACATATGTAAACTCATTACTTTAGAGTTACATTGTGCCCGGCACACAAGACATAGTATTCATCCATGGTTTCAACAGGAGCTCAGCAAAGAACTATTTAAATTTATACATTTAGGTTTTTATGTAGCTGAGAATAAAGAATTCTAAAGGCAGTCAGCTTCTCATCCGGAAAAGAATCTCTAACTCTGCTTTGTTTCCTTTTTGTGAGATCTCTCCAAATAAAGTTGGGGAAAGTAAGTTCAGGGATGGGATGGGGGTTGTCAGAGAGGACCAAGGAGCTTCGTGCTCAACACCAAACAAGAAACAAACTTGCCTAGAAAAAAATTTGCTTTGAGGTTTATTTGCCTGCCTCAAGTCCACAGAGTGTTCTGAGACAAGGAAAGAAAATACATTAACCTTTAACTTACCAGTGAAATTGAAATTTGGAATCAAGTTGATCCCTGAGCAACATAGGTTTGAACTGTACTGGTCCACTTATATGCAGATTTTTTTTAACAGTCCAGCACTATAAAAGTATTTTCTCTTCCTTATGCTTTTCTTAACATTTTCTTTTCTCTAGCTTACTTTATTGTGAGAATACAGTATATGATACATATAACATACAAAACATGGGTTAATAAACTGTTTATGTTATCCATAAGGCTTCCGGTCAATGGTAAGCTACTAGTACTTAAGTTGGGGGGGAATCAAAAGTTTTTTGATTTTTTGATTTTTTGATGGTGCAGGTGGTCGGTGCGCCCAAACCCCCACATTGTCCAAAGGTCAACTGTACATTAAAAAGCACAGAGAGAAAAAATTACCTAGAAAATGGAACGATGGGTTTGTTCATTGGCTCTCATTGTCTTACTGGATGACCTGGGGTGATGATTTACACATCTCAAGACATTAGTTCAACATCTGCAAATCTTAGTAATACTAAGACTGACTACATTACTAAAACCCTCTAAAGATGAATAGTTTAATCCTCCAGCCCTTTGCATTGTCACTCAAATAAGTGAATTACAAGTTTTAATATAAGCTTAATTGCTTCATGGCAGGACTCCTTAATTGCAGCCCTGACCAAATCATTCTCCCTTCTTAAAATATTTCAGTGGTTCCTCATGACTTTCATGACCAACTCCACGCACTCATTCGTCATCCAGTCCCCAACCTGCCTCACCCTCCAGTTTTACCCCCATCCAATCTAGACACACTGAATGAACACCAGCCATTGCCAAGACATGCCAAGTGATCTCAGAGATGCTCGGCTCCCTTTTGTCTGCCTGCCAAATTCTACTCATCTGTCAATATTCCGCTCAAGTAGCATATCCTTCCCAGAGCTTTTTGAGGCCTCATTTCTGTGGGTGACCTCTTGACATCTTGAGGAGATTTCCATTGGAGAATTTTTCATTTTATTATCTGACTGCCCTCCTAGACAGAGGCAACCAGTTCTGGGGACAATCTCTGGAACATGGCTAGGTCTCAGTGAGGCATTCAATAGATGAAGGAAGGCAGGGCTACAAAAAGGATGCATACTTGCCAAGGTGTGGTGATTCCTGAAACGACCGGGTGGGGAGAAGGGAGAAGCTGATGTAATGCTGAGCAAAAGCACTGCGGATGGCCTTGGCAGCAGGATGTGTGGCAAAGGCCCCATGATTGGGACTGCTGTTTGTGAAAGCAAACTAGCTTCCAAAGGTGACAGGAACAGAGTGGAGTAACTCGTGCCTCTGGCTTCATGTGTCCAGGTCTCTGTGGCACATTTTGTTTCATGTGCCTTGCATGTCAAGTTGCAGCTGACATGAATGAATGCTGTCTCTGTGGGACATCCGTTGCAATGAGGACCCTCTACCGGACCCGATATGGCATCCCTGTGAGTCTCTTACCACACTGTATCAGTCAAACATGCCCCCACTTTCAAAATCATCGTTTTAAACCTGCAAACCATTTGATGGTGTCCATCACCTGAATTTGATTGGTAGGTCTTTCCTAGCACGTGCAATTTTGTATTCGGTTGCTGTAGCAATAGGTCCCCCTGGTTATGTGACCTCCTTCTAGGTTTCTGTCAAAGACCTTAGAACATAGGCAACTCTCATATTTGCACTGTGTATCATACAATGGGCGGGGATTATTCAGAATCTAGTATGCCCCAAGTACATGACAGAGGACACCTCACTGAATCCTCACACCCTCCCTGGAAAGTGAGTAAGTCCACATTGTACAGATGAGGACTTTAAAGTTTTAAGGAGTGGAGTAACTCGCCCAAAAACACGCACTAGAAGTAGAAGTTGTCAATATTCAACCCTGTCTTTCCATGAACGCACGTTCCGATACGTCACAAGCTGCCCTTCATGTGACAGGAGCTTGTGTCCGTCAGGACTCACCAGGGAAACACAACCAAAAAGAGATATAGATGACACAGGCATAGGTAAATATAGACCCATCTGAAGAGAGACGTTAAAGAATAGGTTCATGTGATTGTGAGCGTTGGCAAGTCCAAAAATGCAGAGTAGGCTGGCAGGCTGGGAAGAGTTGCCGCTCGGGTCTGAAGGCAGCCTGCCAGCAGAATCTCTTCTTGCTCTGGGGAGGTCAGTCTTTTCCTAGTAAGACCTTCAACGGATTGGATGAAGCCTACCCACATTACAGAGGATAATCTACTTCGCTCAGCATCCACTGATTTAAATGTTACTCTCATCTAAAAAGTCTTCAAAGAAACATCTAGAATATATGGGTACCATGGCCTAGCCAAGTTGGCATGTAAAATTAAGCACCACAGGGAACAAATAAATAGGCAGAATATATTAGGAGCTTATTTTATTCCACTGAAATTATTTTATTTTTTCATTTAAAGATATTTCTTAGTTCTTTAATTACAAAAATAATACATGCTATATACCTAATTTTATGACAAATTCAAACACAGAATTATGGAAAGTAAAAGTGAAAATCTAACCCCTTTATACACAATTCCACTACTCAGCTATAAACTCTATTAATAATTTGGTATGCACTCTTTCAGGTTTTTTCTATGCCTATAAGGTATACAGATATAGATTAGATGGAGCTCTAGCTATGGATGTAGACATATGGGGCTTGAGGTTTGCAGGGCTCTTTTGATTTGTGTTTATCTTTTAAAATGGGGTCATACTATACTGCAACTTGTTTTTTTTTTTTTCACGTGACATTTGGTAGACCCCTTTTGTGTCTGTAATACAGATCCTTTTTAATGTGTTCATAGTATTCCACCATACAGATAATTTACTTAATCACTTCCTTACTGATGAAAGGTTAAATAGTATTGTAGATTAAATCGTTGTTAGGACATAAAATTCTGTATATGCACTGGTACTTTTGTACAATAGTGCCCGAGATTAGAGTGATAGATCACAGTGTATGCACATTCAAAATTTGAAAGATACCGTCAAATACCCCTCCAAAAGGATTATATCAATTTATAATCCATTAACACTATATGTGTGTCCCATATTGGGTAATATTTTTTACGTTGACAATCAGAGAGGGAAAATGATATTTGATTGTTGTTTTAGTTTAAGTTTTATTAGTTAAGATCAAACAACTTTTTAAAACTATTTTGTCCCTGGGGCGCCTGGGTGGCTCAGTCAGTTAAGTGGCTGCCTTCGGCTCGGGTCATGATCTCAGAGTCCTGGGATCGAGTCCTGCATCGGGCTCCCTGCTCAGCGGGAAGCCTGCTTCTCCCTCTCCCTCTGCCTGCCACTCCCTCTGCTTGTGCTCTCTCTCTCTGGCAAATAAATAAAATCTTTAAAAAAAAACCAAACTATTTTGTCCCTTTGCATGGCTTCTATAAATTATCCGTACATATCCTTTGTTCATTGTTTTACTGGGTTGTTTGCCTTTTCTTATTGATTTGTGGGAGCTCTTTATTTAATTGTGCTATATTGGGACACCTGGTTGACTCATTTGGTTAAGCGTCTGCCTTCAGTTCAGGTCATGATCCCAGGGTCCTGGGATTGAGTCTCGCATCGGGCTCCCTGCTCCGCGGGAAGCCTTCTTCTCCCTCTGCCTGTCGCTCCCCCTGCTTGTGTTCTTGCTCTCTCTCTTTCTCTGACAAATAAATAAATAAAATCTTTTAAAAAATAAAAAAAAATTGTGGCTATATTGTTTAACATGAAAGTTATCAAGTTTTTTAAAGGTTTAGTCCATAATCAGTTTTTCTAAATGCTTTTCAGGTATTTGAAAAATGAATAACAGTCTGAAAGTAAAACTTTACTTGGTTTTAACAAAATTTAAAACATTGGAGGGCAGAGGAAGAAATAAGGCATTCTAAAGACCTTATTTTGTATGACATTGACAAATATAATTTTTTCTATTTTTAAAAAAACCTTATTGATATACAATTGACTTACAATAAGCTCTATATTGTATAATTTGATAAGTTTATATACCCGGGATATATACCCATGAAACTATCCTCACAGTCAAGGTAGTGAACATATTAATCTCCTCCAAAAGTTACTCACACCTGTTTGTAATTCTTCCCTCTTTCCCCTCCTTACTTCCCCAACTAATGTTTCCTGTCACTATAGTTTGCATTTTCTGCAGTTTTATAGAATAGAACTGTCCAGTCTGTACTCCTTTATCTAGCTTCTTTTAATCAGTATAATTATTGTGAGATCCATCCAAGTTGTTAAGTGTTCTTAACACAATAAATTCGGGGAAAAAGAAAATATTTAGATGGCAAATAAGCACATAAAAAGATGTTCAACATCATTAGTCATCATTAGAGAAATGCAAATGAAAACCGCAATAAGATACCACTATTCAACTATGGGAATGGCTAAAATTAATCAGACTAAACCACACCAAGTGTTGCCAGATATGGAGGAACCGAAACTCTCATGCAATGCTGGTGGGAATGTAAAATGCAGTTTCTTAAAAAGTTAAATGCATCTACCATTTGACCCAGCCATTCTACTCCTAGATATTTGCCCAAAGAAATATATATCCATACCAAGACTTGTATCAAATGTTCAGAGAGGTTTTGCTTGTAACAGCCCCAAACTAAAAACAATCCAGATATCCGCCAGCTGGTTAATGGATAAACGAAGTGTGATATATCCATAAAATGGAATACTACCCAGTAATGAAAAGGAATGAATTACTGATACACACAAAAAACGGGATGAATCTCAAGATGAATAGAATTTTAAATTGTGGGTGAAAAATGAAGGGTCCTCACTAATTGGATAAAAATTTGTTGTGGGACATCTCTAGGGAATAAAAGCAATCAGGAAAGACCTATGCAACAACAAGAAGAGAAGAAGTTTAAAAAAAAAAAAAAAAAGCAGGGGGGTTGTATGGGGATGCCTGGGTGGCTCAGTTGGTTAAGCGGCTGCCTTCGGCTCAGGTCATGATCTCAGGGTCCCGGGATCGAGCCCCGCATCAGGCTCCCAGCTCAGCGGGAAGCCTGCTTCTCCCTCTCCCTCTGCCTGCCACTCCCCCTGCTTGAGCTCTCTCTCTCAAATAAATAAAATGAAATAATCAGTGAATACCAAACATAAAACAATTTGGCTATCTCATGAGTGAGAGCAATTTAGATTTCTCTGATGTGCCAAAATGTCTTTACCCTTTATTCTCTCTTCCAGTGTGTCTGTGTTAAGTCTTAGGGAGTCTGATCTCTTAGAAGCTAGGTGAAGAACTGTCCCCATCTACCCCCGTCCTCTCCTAGGACCCCAAAGCCCACCCCAGGGTCCTCTGTTAAATTCACCTGCCTGCTGTATCCTGGGGCAAAGCCACAGCTTGGCAATGCGCGGCTGGCCCGGCTGCTCAGGCAGTCTTCAGTGAACCTCCTGCCTTCCATTCCCCAGCCTGTTCGTCCTCCTTTCTGAGTTCCAGGTTTTTGAGTTCGGGATTAATCAAATGCCCTGCCCATGACCCTGTTAGAGGTTTCTGCATCCCTAGCTCTGTTCTACTTTCTCCATCAGTGTAATCCCGTCTGCTCCCAATTTCCAAAAAACTGCTCAAAATTCCTGGCCCACTAAATGACCCCATTCCTGTTTTCTAGTATAGCTTTAATTTATTTACCAAAGCTCTGCAAGCACATAGCTTAATTTTAGATTATCTAATTATTGTTAAGAAGGGTAGCAGTCCACAAACTTCTCTCTCCTACCACCTTCTCCCCAGAGCTCTGTAGGTATTTTCCTCCATATCTCCAAATCATAGACTTGTATTGCTACTTTTTGAGTTTTCCATTTGGGGCATTGTCTATAGACCTCCCACTATAAACGATGAGAATTTAGTTCTGTTTTGTTCTCCTTCCCCACCACAAACATGCACCCTCTCCCCACCCCACTTCTTCCAAAAAGGTTTATGTAATTTGGGTTAAATCCATATTTGGTACTTACATTATGAGACCTATGTGCTCTTCCGAGTTGAGTCATGTAGTGAACTATGATTGCTTTTTCCACTAAACTTTGTTTTTCCTGTATACAAATACAAAACTTTGTATTCCTTGGTCTTAATAATTCTTGGTGTTTTAATTAGTAATTTTCCACTTTCTTATGAGTCGTTTTCCACTTACTTTAACCCCCAAACTCTCCCAGTTTTCTAAGTCTCTTTCCAACATATTCAACATATCAGACATTCTACAATTTTTATCTTCTCAATGAAATCACTCCCTGACCTACAACTACCCTTGGAACTAATTGCTCTTCATTTGTGGTGCTTAACTCTCTTGCCCTGGGATCTCCTTCACCATTACCCTGGAGATGCCATTAGCTTCTCTCCTGTGTTAGGCTCCTGTTTCTTAATATTCCACATCTTCCTCTTTCTTGGTTTCCTCCCTCATTGCGGGTGGAGATATCCTCTAATAGCGTCCTGAGATAGGGAAGGGGTGTGGAAGAAAAGAATTTTGAGGTTTTACTTTCTGAAACTCTCTGTTTTTCCCTCATACTGACAGTTTTGTTGATTGGTATCTTCTATATTCAATATTACAAAGTATAGGAAAACATTTAATGTCATAAAAAGAGGAGTTATATGGAAAAATCAATTAACATTTTCCTAAATGTATCCATCCAAACTCTGAATTCAACAGATCAGTTCCTTCTGCTTGTCTTCAAAATGTCTTAAAAATCCGTAAGTCTTAATTTCCAAACAGGTGGATTTTAAATTTCTATTTCTTTTGTATTTTCAAACAGGGATCCATTTGCGATGACTATATGGTGACGCTTTGCTGTCCTCACTGTTCTCTTTGCCAAATCAAGAGAGACATCAACAGAAGGAGAGCCATGCGTACTTTCTAAAAAAACTAATGGTAGGTCCCAGAATCTGGGTTTTGTTTGAAACACAATAAGGGCTTTGTAAATTATGCATTATTTTGAGTAATAATTTAAAATAACAATTCCTTAAGTCTCTCAAATGTTATCTTAATATAAAGATTGATTTTGGTTTCTTCTTATGAAGAAGATAGCTGCATTACGTTGCTTGGGCCGCCATAACAATTTACCATAGCCTGGGTGGCTTACACAATAAGAATTTATTTCTCACAGTTATGAAGGCTGGGAAGGTCAAGATCAAAGTGTGGGCCAATTCAGTTCCTGTGAGGGCTCTCCTTCCTAGATTACAGATGGCTACCTTTTCACTGTGTCTTCAAATGGTGGAGAGAGAGTAAACTCGGGTCTCTCTTCTTATGAAGACAGTAATCCCATAGTGGGGGGCTCATCTTCATGACCTTATTTCAAACCTAATTATATCCCAAAGGCTCTTCCTCCTTATACCCTCACAGTGGGGGTTAGGGTTTCAACATATGAGTTTTGCAGGGGGCACAGACATTCAGTCTACAACAATTAGCTTTATAATTTGAAACCATATTTTAGTAAATAAAGGGATGGTGACTTTTCTAGACTTCTCAGAATTCTCTTTAACCATTAATGAGGCACTTACCACTTATAAAATGTCAGGGTGTGGTGAGATACAAAAGAAGTAAAAAACATGCCCCCTACTAAGACAATCAAATCGACAAAAGAAATTGGCAAATAACTATAAAGTAGTAGAGCAAATGAAAATGACATGTTATGTAATATTTGAATTGATTGCAGCATAAAGCATCTCAAGAATGAGGGAAGATTATACAGGAAAATCCTATTGAAAAAAGTGAACTCTGAAAGTGGTGGATATAGAATATTTGGAAATGTTATATAGAATCTGAACTTCTGAAAATCAATCAAATCATTTCCAACTAATTTTTCCAGTATTCTCAGAATTAGCTATTAAGTAGAAATAAACATGATTTTGTCAGTCTCCTATAGAATTTATCCTGAGTATGGGAAGGAAGCATTAATTTTTCCATTCTTTGTAATATGCCACTTCCTTTTTCAAGTGAATGAGAACCCTGCATAGGTTAACAAATATAATTTGTGGAGGATATATTTTAAAATGTCATTTATTTAGCAAATAATGTATCAAGTACCCAGTCCTATGCAGGACAATGCTAGGTGCTGTGGGGAACAAAAATAAATAAGCTGGTCCTCTTGTCGTTAGAGACTTTATACTCTAAAAGAGAAGATTAGGCAGCCTTTAAATAAAATGTCGGGTTGACTAATGCCTTTAGACCAAGTGCTATTTTATGCTCAGAGGAAGAACAGATCATATTCTATGAGATGTGTAAATGAAAGTTTCTTGAAAGAAGTGGTTTTTTCCTCTAAAGAGGAAGTGACTATCAAGGTCACAACAGGAAATAGATGGCACTCAAATTGTAATAATACAAAGATTTAATGAAGACCACTCACAAAACAGGCGTGGGTGGGAGGTCTAGGGAAATGACAGGGAGGGTCCCAGAGCAACCTAGACTAGCAACAGTTGAACTGTTAACCACCTCTGGGCCTCAGGGAGGGGAGGAGGGAGCAGTTACCAGAATCCCAAAGGAGTGAGCTCTGAGAAGGAGAAGGCTGCCCTGAAAGGACCGGTAACTTCTCACTAGAAGGACAGGAGCAGCCTGGGGCAACCTCACAGGAAGTAGGCAAGAGGAAAAGTACCCTGATATCACTTTCCCAAGTCCTTCTAGGCTTCCCACTGTTTGAACCCACTGGTTGGCAGCGGGCAGGAAAGTGTTGCTGTAGTCTATAGGTCAGCCTCCCAGGACACACAGCAGGGCAAACAAGGATGGAAATGGATCAGATAGGGCAAACATAAGATCTCGGACACGAGATGTGACTTTAATTAATAGAAATGGATATTGCTTCTAATCAGCAAGAACATTAGTGAAACTATAGAAGCAGAAAAAAGGAAAAACATCTTTACGAGCTTAGGTCCTTCCAACTTTGGCAGGAACATATAAGTAGGAAAATAATGAGAAAAGAAAGACTTTAAAAGTGAGTTGGGGCCATGGCATGCAATATAATGAAATTAGGCTAATGATTTGGTCTTCTATTTGGCAAGCAGTGGGGAGTTATTGTAGGCTTTATGTAAGGGAGTAACATGGAGCTATACTTTAGAAGAATTAATCTGAGAGTGGTATATAGCACAGACTGGACAGGATGAAGTCAGAAGCAAAGATGAGGAGTTAAACAAGTTCAGCCCTGTTTATTTAAATAAATACATGAGACAAGTTGGATAAAATATATATCCACACATACATAATGAATCCTGACATCTGAACTTATTTTTTTTTAATCTCAGAGGAATTATCTTACTGAATCTTTGAATTGGTTTTAAGTAAAATACCTTGGTGATCCTGACTCTGGTGCATCACCTTGAACACAACATTATTCATCAACGGTGAAACTTTAGATATACAAATACCTGAAGTGGGAGAATCAAGAGACAAAGATCAAAGAATAACATGATTTATGTTAAAAATAGGTTGAGGTGCACCTGGGTGGCTCAGTCAGTTAAGCATCTGACTTCAGCTCAGTCAGTTAAGCATCTGACTTCAGCTCAGGTCATGATCTCAGGGTCCTGGGATCCAGCCTGGTGTTGGACTTCCCCTCCCTCAGTGGGGAGTCTGCTTGTCTCTTTCTCTTGGGCCCTCCCCATGCTGGTGCTCTCTCTGTCTCTCTCTCAAATAAATAAATTAAAAAAAATAAATAGGTTGAAAGAAAGGGACATAGGAACCAGCAGAAAAAGCTCCAAATTGTGAACACTGGAACACTTGGAGCAACAAAGTAATTTTAGATTATAAATGGAATTTTTAGAAAAGATTATAACCAAAATAAAATATCTGTGAGTCCATGCTTATATAAATACATGATTAAACAAACAAATAAACACATGGAAGAGAAGAGACAAATCTTCCAGAAGTACAGAAGAATTCCAAAAAATGTATGCATGTATTCCTCCCTCAAGGAGACGGAGCATAACTGCCCACCCCTTAAGAGTGGGTTTGTACAGTGACGTCCTTTCCAAGAGTATAGTATGAAAAGGGGAGAAAAAGAGTAAATCTTTATAGTGGAGAAACCTGACAAGACAATTTCAGCCAGGTGACCAAAGGGAACCTCATCAGTTGTAGGTATTCTGCAAAACCTGACCAGTAGTCATCAAAACTGTCAAGGTCATCACAAACATGGAAAGTCTGAGAAACAATCACAGTGTAGAGGAACCTATGGAAACTTGATGACTAAATGTAATGTGTTATCCTGGATGGGACCCCGGAACGGAAAAAAGACATTAGGTAAAAACTGAGAAATCGAACTAAAGTATATGCTTTGATTAATAATATGATGTATCAACATTGGTTCATTGGTTGTAACAAACCTACCTTAGTAAGATGTTAACTGAGGGAAATTGGTGCAGGGTATATGGGAACTCTCTGTACTATCTTTGCAATTTTTCTGTAAACCTACAATGATTCTAAAATTTAAAGTTTATTGAAAATAAAAACATAGATTAAGAAAATTCAAAACTCTTCTTTGTGTGTCCCTCATAGGTGAAAAGCTCTTATTGAAGCAACTAAAGTTAGCAGACACCCTTCAGCTTGAGTCCTCCTCTGCGTTTTGCAACTGAAATATGATGGATCTGTTTAAGCACAATCGATGGGGTAAAAAAAAATGGAATTTTGATGTATTTTAAATGAATGTTTTCCCTTAGTTTTGCTAAATGGTCCAGCTTAGTTTCTCCTTGCTTTCATATTATTAAATTTTCTGGCTTATGAATTTTGTGTTACATTTGGCATGTAAACAAAATAAAAGATTTTACTAACAAGATTCTTTATGCTTCTTTTGTTCTCAATGTCTTTATGTCATTAATTTTAAGGGTCAGTCTCATACTTTTGTTCTGATAATTTGGTTTCTGCACAGGAAATTTTGGTCCACGGCAACTCAGTTCTCTTTCATCTAAGAACTTGGAGACAGAAAAAAAGACTACAGATAACTATTATAAGACACTTATAATACTAATTTAGCTAATACTTTTGCTCCTTATTACCTATAAGGATTATTAATGCTGACAAAGTAACAACACAATATGCCCTGCTTCCCAGCTGCATACCTGACAGGTTTGTTGTGTTGATACTCTTTCTCTTCTCAATACGAAGTATCAGGACAAGTAATAAAAATTCAGTGCTAAAATTCAGTATGACCCAGTTTTGATGAAATATTGGTGATAAATGCACAATGCAACATTTTTTTCACATTTATTATTCTATGTGTTCCACATGCATCATTTTGCCCTGATGAAAATCTCACTCCCCAGTTTCCTTTGGTTCTCTTCCTACCCTTGAATCCATTTCATTTGTTGGGATGGGGTAAAGGGGAGGCAAAACCACTGGATAGGTTTATTGGGAAGTTTCAGAGAGAGCAAATATAAAAGCCCCTGGACCTTACTAGGCACTCAGCAAACTTGAGTGCTCTACCCCTTCTTTTCCTTGCCTCGTGGATTTAGATGCTTTGCAAGGTTCTGTCCGGGATCCGCTCTTTTCATACCTCCTGTTCTTCTTAGTGTCATCTACTCGTATGGCTTCAACTGCCTCCTAGATGTCAGGGAGGACTGTATTTCCAGTCTCCCCCTTACTACTGATGTTCGGAATGACTCTTCAGCTGCCTACTAACCAAGTCCATCTGGATGTCCCCTGGGCCTTCTCTACCCCACATGTCAAACAATATCACCACTTACTCAGTTGTTCAAGATGAGAAGTCTAAGTATCAATGAGTATCAATGAGTCCTGACTTGACTAATCACACCCTTCTCCCTTCTCCTCACATCTAATCAGACACTGGCTTCTGTCACTTAAACTCCACTTGATACCCTCAATGGATGATCTATTTTGCTTGTTGCTATTTCCCCAGTGCCTAGAACAATGCCCGATACCTACTAGATACCTACTTAAATCATTTATTGAATGAATCAATCTGTCCTCTTTGTCTCCACTGCCATGATCTCTTTGGAAAGTCAGGTGCATAGCTCCTGAACTAGTCTGCCTACCTCTAGTAACTCTAGCTCCTGTTACCTTCTTTCCAATCCATCTTATAGACTGCCTGCACAAGTTCAATGGTGAAGATTCTAAAAAAAGACCCCAAATTTTCCCTGGCCCCTCATAATATAGCCTCAGTTTACCTCTTTAGCCTATTCTCCTGTCACTTCTTCACTCTAAAAATTCCCTACTTTCACGACCTTCAACACACATACATTTTTTAAAATTTCAAATTCCAACTGTTCATTGAGGTAATAAGGCAAAATAGGAAAAAAAAAGATGTGTTTTATGACTCAGGATGTGGTCTATCTTCGTGAATGTTCCATGTGAGATTAAGAAAAATAAATACTATGCTGTTGTTGGATGAAGTAGTCTATAGATGTCAATTAGATCCCATTGACTGATGGCGCTGATGAGTTCAACCATGTCCTTAGTGATTTTCTGCCTTTTGGATCTGTCAATTGCTAATAAGGGGGTGCTGAAGTCTCTAAATCTAACAATGGATTCATCTATTTGTCCTTGCTGTCTTATCAGTTTTTGCCTCATGTATTTTAATGCTCTGTTATTGATGCTCTGGTTTTGAGCATTTTATGATTCCATTTTCTCCCTTCTCTGTTAGCATATCAACTGTATATATATTTTAAATTTTTATAAGTTACCTTCCAGTTTGCAATGTACATTTACAACTAATCTAAGTCCATGTTTAAACACTATACTGTTTCATGGGTAGTAAGCAATCTTATAAAAGAATATTTCCAATTTCTGCCTCCCATCATTGCTGTCATTCATTTTATTTATCCATATGCTATAAACACTAAAAAATTGCTATTATTTTGAACAAAGTCATCTATTAGACCAATTAAAATTTTTAAAAAAGATTTTAATTTACCTTCATCTATTTGTTTTCCAGTGCATGTCCTTTATCCGAGTTTCTAACCCATGCCATTTCCTTCACTCTGAAGAACTTTTAGCACTTCTTGTAAGGCAGATCTCCGGCAAATTTCTTCAGTTTTTGCTGACTCTTCGTCTTTCACTTTTAAGGGATAATTTTGCTGGATAATATCCTCTGTTGGTGAGTTTTTTCTTTCAACATCTTAAATATCTACACTCTGTTCTTGCTTGCATGGTTTCTGATGAGAAATCCAATATCATTCTTATTCATGCTCCTTTATAGAAAAGGTGTTTTGGGGGTGCTTGGGTGGCACAGTCAGTTGAGTGACCAACTTTTGATTTTGGCTCAAGTCCTGATCTCAGAGTTGTGAGATCAAGCCCTGCATCAGGCTCCGTGCTCAGCACAGAGTCTGCCTGGAACTCTCTCTCCCTCTCCCTCTGCCCCTCTCACTTGTGCTCTCTCTCTAAAAACAGAACAAAACAGGGGCGCCTGGGTGGCTCAGTTGTTAAGCGTCTGCCTTCGGCTCAGGTCATGATCCCAGAGTCCTGGGATCGAGTCCCACATCGGGCTCCCTGCTCCGCGGGAAGCCTGCTTCTCTCTCTCCCACTCCCCCTGCTTGTGTTCCCTCTCTCGCTGTGTCTCTCTCTGTCAAATAAATAAATAAAAATCTTTAAAAAAAAAAAAAAGAACAAAACAAAAAAAGGTATTTTTTCCCCTAGCTTTTTTTTAAGACTTTTTGTCCTTGTTTTCTACAGTTTAAATATGATATGCTCAGGTGTAGATGTTTTTCGTATTTATCATACTTGCTCTTTTCTATGCTTCCTGGACCTGTGGTTTGGTGTCCATCATTAATTTTGGAAAATAGCCATTATTATCACAAATCTCTCTTCTGTTCCTTTCTTCTCCTGGTATTTCCATTATACCTATGTTATAGCTTATATAATTGGCCCATAGTTGTTGGATAGTTTTTTTTTTTCTATTTGCATTTCAATTTGGTAAGTTTTTTTTTTTGTTTTTTTTTTTTTTTTTATTCATGAGAGACAGAGCGAGAGAGAAAGGCAGAGGGAGAAGCAGGCTCCCACGGAGCAGGGAGCCCGATGCGGGACCCGATCCCAGGACCCCGAGACCATGACCCGAGCCGAAGGCAGACGCCCAACCATCCGAGCCACCCAGGCGCCCTGGTAAGTTTTTACCGACATATTTTCAAGCTCACTGATCTTTCTTCAGGTGTGTTCAGTCTGATGATTAGTCCATCAAAGGCATCTCCATTTCTGTTAGGGTGTTTTAGTTCTAGCATTTCTTTTTAATTCTTAGAGTTTCCATCTCTCTACTTACATTACCCATCTGTTTTTGGATGTTGCCTATTTTCCACTAAAAACCCTTATCAAATTAAGCACAGCTGCTTTAAATTCTTGGTCTGATTAGTTCAAACATCCCTGCCATACCCATCTGATTCTGATGCTGGATTTGTCTCTTCAAATTGTATTTTTCGGGACATCTGGGTGGCTCAGTCAGTTAAGCATCCGACTCTTGATTTCCGCTCAGGTCATGATCTCAGGTGTGTGAGATCGAGCCCCACATTGGGCTCCGTCTGCCCTGGGGAATGGAGCCTACTTAAGATTCTCTCTTTCCCTCTGCCCCTCACCATACCCTCTAAAACAATAACAACAAGAAAACAAATTGTTTTTGTTTTTATGTTTGTTTGTTTGCTTTTTCATTATGCTTTGTAGGTTTTTTTGGTTGAAAGCCAGACATGATGTATCAGGTAAACAGGAACTGAGGAAATTAGGCTTTTAGTATAAGGTTTTATGTTAATCCAGGTAGGAGCTGGGCTGCATTTAATATTTGCTATAGTTGTGTAGACTTCAGTTTCCTCTTTTCCTTGTTTTTATTCTTCCCTGTTGTACTGTCTCCCTAAGAATACTTTCTTAAAGAGTGTGTCCTATCACTCTCAGTCAAATTCCGCTATTATGACACTGGAGTCCCATGTGATGTAAAGGATTTGGGAAGTATTGTATAATCTTACGATTCTAAATCTGTTTATACTTACCCTGAGTCCCTGGGCTGTGACCTTCAGAAGTGTTTCTTAGCGTTTTTTCTCCCTCCTCTTACGTGACACAAGAAGGCTCCAGGGGGCTAGAATGGTCTAACTGCTCTTGCCCCAGGATGGATGAGGCTCTGGTAATGTGGTTGGTTTTCCTTAGAGGGCAGGCCTTTGTCATGGAAGAAGATCCAGGTGTATTTCAAAATAGTTACTTTCCCTCCCCTGTCCTGCCTGAAACACAGAGGATCCTGATCTCAATCCTGAGAACTTGATGGGGTTCCTGGGGATAAATCCTAGACAGTACAGAGCCTCCCCTGAGAGTGGGCCCTCAGGGGGTTTTAACTGTCAAGCTAGTTTACACTCAGCCTCCAGTAACTTGTCAAAGTTACCATTTCACTGTTCCTATCAGTTACTGCTCCAGTAGCTTTTGCTCCCAGTAAGCTCGCTCAACTGCGAGTCTATCTGCCTGTCTTTCCAGTTTTTGTGGTAGTTTGCCCTGTGACGTCAATTCTCTTGTAGAAATAAGAAAAGCCATCTATTTTCAGCCTGTTCAGCCTTTTTCTTATTGTGAGGATGGAGTAATGACTTCCAGGCCCTTCACATGTTGGAGCTGAAACTGGAAGTTTTCCACAAACTTGTTTTTAGTCCTTTCCTGATTTTCTCTATCAAGCTGGCCTGAAATAACCCTCTCTGAGGAGCCTTCCCAGACCTGTCTCTAAGAAATGAAAAGCTCCTTCCTGTGCGCTCCGGTGCTTGGCGCAATTACAAGTATTCCACTGCTGGCTACTGGCTCCGTGACCAACTGGCTGGGGAACCGGCGTCATGGCACAGCTTTGTGGTTCTAGCACGTGGTATAAAT